GCGTGGATTGTCCAGGCTCAGCGCCCACCCAGCTCGGCCAATCCTCTTCCTCCTCCTCCTCCATCTCCTCCTCCTCCTCCTCCTCCTCCTCCTCCTCCTCCTCCTCCTCCTCCTCCTCCTCCTCCATCTCCTCCATCTGCTCCTCCTCGTCCTGCTGGTTTTTGCCGGCGGCGGTTCTCGTGTTCTTCGGGGATGTTCCTCCGGCGTGGGTCCGACTGTACCTTCGTGTCCTGTGCCTCGCGGCCCATGCGTCCCACATTCCTGTGCAATGTGGCCCTTGGGATGGGTTTTGTATCCTTTCGCGTGTCGTGCCCAAACAAGTCCGATTACGGTCGGTTCGTGTCGTGTCGACCGGCGGCGACCGCGCCAGCGGCGTTCAACGTTTAACGCCGCGGGCGACCCAGAATCGTTCGATGTGGAACGATTTGGACGTTTCGGAAACGGCCGATCGTTCCAGTTTGAACGCGTCCCGCGGTGTCAGGGACCAACGCCTGGGTCGACACGACACGAACCTGCCGTAGACCTGGGCCTTCATGTCGGTCCTGCCGCCACCCTGGCCGTGCAGCGGCGGGGCTGCTGCCCAGAAGCGGTGGACGCGCGCTCAGCCGCAGGCTGCTGCCGGCGCTCCCGCATCGCCATCAATGTCCATAAGCACGTCGCATCGGCGATGCCAGTGCTTCCTTATATTTTCCCCCCGTCTGCTGCCGTCGATCGTCAAATCCTGCGGTACCAGTTTTTCATGGCACTGCCCAGCTCCTGCCAGCTATTCCCCGCCTTCTCCAAGCTGGCCAACTTCCACGCCCTCCTCTCGAGAGGAAGCGCGGGGCTCCTACCCGGCGTCACTTTCAGAGCCAGCCGCCGCTGCCTGGCGAACTTGCTCTTTCGCGACTAGCGGGGCGTGACGTCGTCAATTGACTGCGCTGTCGGGAACTGCCCATCTGCATGAACCCCCTGTCCAGATGGTCCCCTGGATCGTTGAGCCCGTCCTTCTGGCAGCAGTATCACAAGGCTTTGTGGAAGACGGGCACATCCTCAACGGTCTACTACCCAACGCAGCTCGATTGGTGAAACGGCCCCGGGTAGATTCCAGGTGCATGTGCCTCAAAGTATGAGTCTCGGCGCTCAGGCGCCCCCGCCGCGCTCCCAGTGGGCCGTCCTACGGGACGCATCCGGCGCTCGCCTCGCCTCCTCCTGGCAGGAGCAGCAGCAGCAGAGCACTGGCGAGATGCGCTCCTCAATGGCCAGCGGCTGCCACATCGGGACCTCTTCTCGTCGTCAGGTCTCGACTGCCTGTTGGCGCGCCGCCCCCCAGTGCTGGTCGCGAGGCGGTCGCCCAAGCTGCACGCGACGGTCAGCGTCCCAGGCTTCAGCGGACTGTCACCCCTTCCTGTCATCGTCCAAGTTTCCCGACACCTATGCTTTCGCCACTGCCAAGCGTTTAGAATGAGAGCTCGATGCCGCATCCGAGGCGCCTGCCGATTCAGGGCTTTTTTTGCAATCCCTGCGGCGTGAGCTTTCGCATTTGTCCCTTGCCTATTTCATGGTGCGCGGTGAAACGCTCTGTGCGGGTTGGATCACATCCCACGGAGGAGGAGGAGGAGGAGGAGAGGAGGAGGAGGAGGAGGAGGAGGAGGAGGAGGAGGAGGAGGAGGAGTGCCTATCCTGCAGAATGCACGTCCCGAATCCTCGTCCTTGCCACTTCGGTTGCTCGGCACGGGACTCGACGTGCCACGATTGGCAGTGCCCCCGCCTCGTGCATGTTACCGCCCTCCCCCCGCGCCTTCCCCCGAGTCCTCGCGGACTCGTCAATGTGGGGCTGGGCTCCGAGGAGGGCCATGCCTCCCTGGACGATCTTCGCCCAGCGGTCATCCGCAGGATGATCTATTTCTCACACACCGTGAAATTCGACGCCCTGCCCCAGAGTCGAAGGGAGCGCACCCGGGTCTCCTACGCCTTTGCTCACATATGCCCGCTAGCGGCACGCCAGAGCGCCGAACTATGAACCGAGGACCGAGGGTGGGCTGAGGTGGGGCGGGCAGAGAGATTAGAAGGGAGTGGATTTGTAGGCACAAACAGAGGTATCGGAAGAACGTTGCCGTTCTTGCGCCCCGTGGGGCGGACATCTCGTGTCCGCTGGTGCACTCGCATGCAGGAGTCCTCCCGACGCTTTCGCCCCTCCCTGGAGGTGCTGGAGGTGTGGGGGGGGGGAGGGCACTTCATGGGCGGGGTGCTTGTGTCGGAACCTGTCGCGGCGGATGCACGGGGCGTTCCAAGAATGGCCTGGCCTCCGAGGATCGAAGGGGTTGTCATCTCCTCCGCCACGGACGGCGGCGGAGGGGCGGCGAAAGGTCGGCAGAAGTAGAACAAGGCCGCCTCCGCCGGCGGAAGCCGGAGTTTAGGGCGGCGGAAGGGCGCGGAGGGGGAAACAGGCGCCCCCCAGGGATGAACACACTTTTGGGTTCAGTTTCCAGAATCGGCCACATGCTCCCGCCTTCGGTTGTTGAGCACTGGCACGCCCCTACTCCATCCAAGCAGTGGCGAAGCGTCCTGGCGTGCCTATAGGCCTACCAAACAATGTTCTTAGAACCCTCTGTGGTTTCCACGAAATGTTCTCAGAACATTTCTGCCTCGGACTGTCTTGTTTTAACACATCGCGTTCATGTTCTAAGAACATTGTCAGCCTCTTTTCACGCGGCCCACTGCCCGATCGGGGCGAGGCCCTTCCTCCCGCAAGGTCGGTGCGCCAGCCTGTCTGCGGATGGATCGGCGGCCCCAGGCTACGTCTGCTCCTCCTCGTCGTCTTTCTCCTCCTCCTCCGCCTCCTCTTCTCCTCTCTCCTCTCTCCCCTCTCCCTTCCTCTCCTGCTGATCCCCCCTCCTACCCCCTCCTCCTGCCCCCGCACCTCCGATTCCCTCCTCCCTCAGTCCTCCGTTTCCCCCTTTCCTCCCTCCTGCCTGCCCCTCACCGCGGCTCCCCAGGTCCCAATCTACTTGAAGCGCCTTTCGAACTGCTACTTCAAAAGCCGATGTGCTTCCGCTATGTGTGTGTATTCCTTGGGTGGGCCTGAACCCAAGCTACTTTGGCCGCCTTCCTACATCGTGTTTCTACTGACTTCTTCCGACCGACGTGCGCAGCTCTTGGAATATTGAAGTCAGCATCGGCGCTGGTATATCCGCAGTTGGAAACTGAGCGGCGCAAACAACGGGTTCGGTTGCGCCGACATTCGCGCGTAAGCTCCCCGCGTAAGGTCGCGCGGAAGCGCCTTCGTTTCCACTGTAGCGTGCCGCGCCCGCGGCCCGCGAAAACAACCGCGCTCGCTGTGCCATTTCGCGTAGGACAAGTTTTGTCGTGGCCCCACTGGTCAAATCCGGCCTAATCTTGTTTAGCTCCGCCGAGTCTTGTGGAAGTTGATTTCTGGAGAGGAAGCATGCTGCCAAATACTTTCCAGATTTCTAAAAGATGTGCCACTTGTGTTTTAAACATGTTGAAACATATTTGAAACGTGTTTGGAACATGGTTTACACATTTTAACACACACACACACACGCACTTTTAATTCAATGATAGGATTGCTCGAGTGTCCATTGTCATGGCATCCACAAACCGAGTCTGGATTATAGTCCGGCTCAATCGGGTTTAATCTTGGACGCAGCCTTGGCGAATTTGGCCCCGTGTCTCCTTCATCGGGCCGGGTAGCCCTGAGCTGTTTTTGCGAAGACCTCCCAGGGGTCGCCTCCAGACTCCTCCATTTGCCCCTTACCTTCGACTCCTCCCCTTGCCTCCCTTTAACTCCCCTCACCTCCCATTACCTCCCCTTGCCTCCCCTCACCTCCCCTTTCCTCCCCGCTGGCACCTCTATTACTCGACACCCCTTTTCTCCCCTTCCCTTACCTCCCTCCTCTTGCCCCTCCCTTCCTCGCCTCCCCTCCCTCCGTACCCCCTCCTCCCCGCCCTCCCTGCCTGCTCCGCGCCCCTCCTCCTCCTCCTCCTCCTCCTCCTCCTCCTCCTCCTCCTCCTCCTCCGCATCCTCCCTCCTCCTCCTCCTCGTCCTCCTCATTTCTCCTCATCCCTCGGCCTCCTCCGCCTCCCCCTCCTCCTCCCTCCTCCTCCTCGTCCGCCCCGCCCCCCCTCCCTCCCTCCCTCTGCCGCCCCTCCCTCCCTCCCTCCCCCGACCCGCCCCCCCCTCCCGGCAAAACCACGCGCCGAGCGGGGCCGCCGCCGCCCGGGATCGGCCAGCGCCCCGCGCCTTCCCGCCGCCGCCAGCCCTGACGATTTTCGTCCCGGGCGTTGCCCCTAAACTCAGAGCGTGAATTGCCTACCCCGCTTTCGCTTCCAGGCAAAACCAAGCCATACCACGCGCCTCCTCGTCGAGCGGCCTGACCAGCACGGGCTGCAATTTGGCATCGTTTGGTATCTCTTGGAAGCGAGGGTGGTCAAAAGCGAGGTAGGTTTGTTTCCCCCCTATAAACTCTAAAAGGCCACCGCGGCCGCGCCCGAAAGCGGAGGTCGATGCATCCGCCGCGCCGTCGATCAAAACGCGTCTTGCTCCTCGTCCGTCTCCCCCTCCTCCCAACACATCCGACGTCTTGACGTTTTCGTTTTGCGGGCCCATGGCCCCCGACGCATGGATCAGGCGTTTTTTCGAGCGTCAGCCGACGGGAGGTTTTTGGCCATCTTCGGCTTCCGGGGGCCCTCGCCGGGCCAGGGGACCGTAACAAAAACGATTCGGGGAAAGGGTCGGGACTTCCGGGGACCGCGTATTTCGGTGGCAAAGTATGGGATCCTTGTATACCCTCTTGTTTCCGTCTTTAGCGTCGACTAGCGTCTGGGAGTGGATGAGATGATGCCGCGTCGATTAGCGTCGGTTTAGCGTCGACTAGCGTCATTTTAGCGTCGATTCGCAAGAACCGACAAGATGGTATGGGAGGCTCCCATGAGTTGCCACCGAAGCGCATTGCAGAAATCATAACGTCGCCTGTCCGGGAGCCCCCCCCCCGCAGGTGCTGGACAGGAAACCGGCGATGGACTTCAAGACCGGCGGCCCATACCCGGAGGGCGTGCTGCCCGGCCGGGTCGCGCGGGGTCGTACTGGCAAGAAAGAGGAGGAGGAGGAGGAGGAGGAGGAGGAGGAGGAGGAGGAGGAGGAGGAGGAGGAGGAGGAGGAGGAGGAGGAGGTGGAGGTGGAGGAGGAAGAAGAGGAGGAGGAGGAGGAAGGAGGAGGAGGAGGAGGAGGAGGAGGAAACGGAGGAGGAGGAAAAGGAGGAGGAAAAGGAGGAGGAGGAAAAGGAGTTTCGGGCGGCGGTTTCGCCCCCCAGAGAGCCCTCGTCCCCGCGTTTCCCCGTGGTTTCCCGAGGTGGAGACCGCCCCCCACGGGGTCGGAGAAGGCTCGCAGCAATTGGCTACACCCCCTTCGCCTTTGCACACTGTTTTGCCGCCTCCCCTTCCAACGGAGGGTTGGCGGCGCCAGTATTAGCATTGCGTTCGCTTGCAGTTATTTTCGCTGTCAGGATACAATCGCGCGCGCCCGACCTCCCTCCGCTTGGTGGCCAGCTTAAACACAGGATCCTATTACAATACACCCGCTGAAAAGGGGCGTCCTAGCAATGCCGACCACGAGGTCTTGTAATCCGAGGTATCACATGGGACCAGCTCTAGACCATATGCAAGTAAACGAACTTCATGACCATCTCTGATTTTTCCTGCGTGTACAAAGCAGTCGTAGTAGTAGTAGTAGTAGTAGTAGTAGTAGTAGTAGTCGTAGTAGTAGTAGTAGTAGTCGTAGTCGTAGTAGTAGTAGTAGTAGTAGTAGCAGTAGTAGTAGTAGTAGTAGTCAGTAGTAGTAGTAGTAGTAGTAGTAGTAGTAGTAGTAGTAGTAGTAGTCGTAGTCGTAGTAGTAGTAGTAGTAGTAGTAGTCGTAGTAGTAGTAGTAGTAGTAGTAGTTAGTAGTAGTAGTAGTCTAGTACTAGTAGTAGTAGTAGTAGTAGTAGTAGTAGTAGTAGTAGTAGTCGTAGTCGTAGTAGTAGTAGTATCAGTAGTAGTGTAGGAGTAGTAGTACGTAGTAGTAGTAGTCGTAGTAGTAGTAGTAGTAGTAGTATAGTAGTGTAGTAGTAGAGTAGTAGTAGTAGTAGTAGTAGCAGTAGTAGTAGTAGTATCAGTCGTAGTAGTAGTAGTAGTAGTAGTAGTAGTTCGTCGTCGTCGTCGTCGTCGTAGTCGTGCTAGTCGTAGTAGTCGTAGTAGTAGTAGTTAGTAGTAGTAGTAGTAGTAGTAGTAGTAGTAGTAGTAGTCGTAGCAATAGTCATCGTGCTCATAATAGTAGTAGTAGTAAGTAGTAGTAGTAGTAGTAGTATTAGTAGCAGTGGTCGTCATATTAGTAGTAGTAGTAATAGTTTCAGTTTTGGTGGTAGTAGTGGTAGTAGTAGTAATAGCAGTAGTAGTAGTAGTAGTAGTAGTAGTAGTAGTAGTAGAAATTGTAGTAGTAGTAGTAGTAGCAGTAGTTGTAGTTGTAGTAGTAGTAGTAGTAGTAGTAGTAGTTAGTAGCTGTAGTAGGCGTAGTCGTGTAGAAGTAGTCGTAGTAGTAGTAGTAGTAGTAGTAGTAGTAGCAGCAGCAGTAGTAGTAGTAGTAGTAGTAGTGGTAGTACTAGTAGTCGCAGTAGTGGTAGTAGTAGTAGTAGTAGTAGTAGTCGTAGTCGTAGAACTAGTCGCGGTAGTCGTAGTGGTGTAATGGTAGAAGTAGTACTAGTACTAGTACTAGTACTAGTACTAGTACTAGTAGTAGTAGTTGTAGTAGTAGTAGTAGCAGTAGTAGCAGCAGTAGCAGTGTAGTAATCGTAGTGCTAGTAGTAGTAGCAGTAGAAACAGTAGTTGTAGTCGTAGTAGCAGTAGCAATGCTAGTAACGCGTAGCAGTAGTAGCCGTACTACTAGTGGTATTCGTAGTAGTAGTAGTAGTAGTAGTAGTAGTAGTAGTAGAAGTAGTAGTAGTAGTAGTAGTAGCCGTAGTAGTACTAGTAATAGCAGTAGTAGTAGTAGTTGTAGTAGTAGTAGTAGTAGTAGTAGTAGTCGTAGTCGCAGAAATAGAAGTAGTAGTATTAGTAGCAGTAGATGTAGCAGTAGTCGTCGTCTTCGTAGTTGGAGTGGCAGTAGTAATGGCAGTATGAGTGGTAATCGTAGTAGTAGTAGTAGTAGTAGTAGTAGTAGTAGTAGTAGTAGTAGTAGTAGTCGTAGTAGTAGTAATAGTAGTAGTAGTACTCGTAGTAGTCGTGGTGGTGGTGGTAGTAGTAGTAGTAGTAGTAGTAGTGGTCTGAGTAGTAGTAGTAATAGTAGTAGTAGTAGTAGTAGTAGTAGTAGTAGCAGTAGTAGTAGTAGTAGTAGTAGTAGAAGTGGTAGTAGTAGTAGTAGTAGTGGTAGTAGTAGTAGTAATAGTAGTAGCAACAGTAGTGCTAGTAGTAGTCGTAGTAGCAGCAGCAGTAGTAGTAGTAGTCGTAGTAGTAGAAGAAGAAGTAGTCGTAGCAGTTGTAGTAGTAGCGATAGTAGTCGTAGTAGCATGAGAAGTAGTGGTAGAAGTCGGAGTAGTTGCAGTAGCAGTAGTCGTAGTAGTATTTGTAGTAGTAGTAGTAGTAGTAGGAGGGGCCGCAGTCGGAGTATTATTGTTACTATTCGTAGTAGTGGTCGTAGTAGGTTGTATTAGCAGTTGTAGTAGTACTACTGCTACCAGTAGATGTATTAGCAGTCGTGGCCGTAGTGATCGTAGTAGCCCTTGTCGTGCTAGTGGGAGTGATCGTAGTCGTAGTGGCACAGGAGGTAGGCACTAGTGGTAGTAGTCATGGTAGTAGTAGTAGTGGTAGTAGTAGTAGTAGTAGTAGCCGTAGTAGTATTAGTAGCGGTATTAGTCGTAGTAGTGGTGGTGGTGGTAGTAGTAGTCGTCGTAGGGGTTGCAATCTTGGTTGTAGTAGTAGTCGTTGTAGTGGCAGTAGTTGTAGTCGCAGTCGCAGTAGTAGTAGTAGTAGTGGGGATAGTAGCAGTGATAGTAGTAGTAGTAGTAGTAGTAGTAGTAGTAGTAGTAGTAGTAGTAGTAGTAGTAGTAGTAGTAGTAGTAATGGTGGCAGTCGTAGTAGCAGTAGTAGTAGTAGTAGTAGTAGCAGTGGGCGTAGTACTGGTAATCGTACTCGTATAGTAACAGTAGTGGTGGTAGTCGTAGTAGTCGTCGCAGAAGAAGAAGAAGTAGTATTAGTAGTAATAGTAGTCGTAGAAGTAGTATTTGTAGTAGCCGTAGTAGTGGTAGTAGTAGTAGTACTACTACTACTACTACTAGTGGTAAGAAACGTAGTAGTAGTAGTAGTAGTAGTAGTAGTCGTAGTAGCAGCAGTAGTAGCAGTCGTAGTAGTAGTAATAGTCGTAGTAGTAATAGTAATAGTCGTAGTAGTAGTAGTAGTAGTAGTAGTAGCAGCAGTAGTAGTACTAGTAACAGTAGTAGCCGTAACTGTAGTAGTCGTAGCCGTACTAGTTGTCGTAGTGGTAGTAGTAGTAGTAGCTATAATAGTCGTAGCCGTGCTAGTAGTAGTAGTAGTAGTAGTAGTAGTAGTAGTAGTAGGCGTAGTAGTAGTAGTAGTAGTAGTAGTAGTAGTAATAGTAGTAGTAGTAGTAGTAGTAGTATTCGCAGCAGTAGTAGTAGTATTAGTAGTAGTAGTCGCTGTGGTAGTCGTAGTAGTCGTTGTAGTAGTAGTGGACGTCGTCGTGGTAGTAGTAGTAGTCGTAGTGGTGGTCGTCGTCGTAGACGTAGTAGTAGTAGTAGTAGTAGTTGTAGTAGTAGTAGTAGTAGTAGTAGTAGTAGTAGTAGTAGTAGTGGTAGTAGTTCGAGTAGTGATCGAAGTAGTCGTAGTAGTCGTAATGGTCTTTGTAGTCGTGGTAGTAGTGGTAGTAGTAGTAGTTGCAGTCGTAGTAGCCGTCGTAGTACCTGTAGTAGTAATAGTAGTGCTAGTGATAGTGGTAGTGGTAGTAGTAGGAGTAGTAGTGGTAGTAGTAGTAGTACTAGTAGTAGTCGTCGTCGCTGTTGTACTTGTAGCCGTAGTGGTAGTAATCGTAGCAGTAGTAGTAGTAGTAGTCGTAGTAGTAGTAGTAGTAGGAGTAGTCGTAGTAGTAGTAGTAGTAGCCGTAGTCGTAGTAGGAGTAGTAGTAGTAGTAGTAGTAGTAGTAGCAGTAGTATCCATACTAGTAGTAGTAATGGTAGTAGTAGTAGTAGTAGCCGTAGTAGTAGTAGTAGTAGTAGTAGTAGTAGTAGTAGCAGGTGTTGTAGCTCCAGTAGTCGCAGTATTAGTAGTAGTAGCATTCGTAGTAGTCGTGGTCGCCGTCGTAGGAGGAGTAGACGTAGCCGGAAGAGTAATAGTGGCAGTATTTGTACTTGTAGTCCTAGTAGCAGTAGTAGTAGTCGTAGTCGCAGTATTCGTAGCAGTAGTAGTAGTAGTAGTAGTAGGGTTGCACCTGGTCCTCGTGTCGCTACAAACCTCACCTTCGTGTACTCTTCTTGTGTATCAGGCCAAATAGAACTCCTACCAGGGGAATTACGAAAACATTAGTTTCAAACCTGGCCTTCGTGTCTTTCGCGCCAATGCCTACCTTCGTGCACTATTCGCTGTAGAGGCTGTAGATTGTATTCGTATTAGAAGCGAACAAAAAACGACAGTTTTACACCTGTCCTTCGTGTCGACGTCGGATTTGGAGCAACCGCCACTGCCAGCCGCTTCGTTTCGGCACAACCCTCTCGAGGATCGTGGGCCTGGCCCTCCGACGCGCGATTCCGGCGCGCACTTCACTAGGATCGTGGCCCTGGTCCAAGTGGGAGCGCTGCCGAAGGCCCACCGACGTCCAATTCCGGCACGCCGCTCACGAGGATCGTGTCCTGGCCCACCTGGGAGCGCTGCCGACGGCCCACCGATGAGCAATATCGGTGCACCCCTCACACGGATCGTAGACCTCGCCACATTTGGATCGCCGCCCGACGCTGAAGTTCGGCACACCTCTCACATGGATCGTGGCCCTGACCCAATGTGGAGCGCTGCCGACGGCCCACCGACGCCC